AAGTGGAACTGAATCTTTGCTTCTAACCTTCCAACCCAGGGTTACCTGAAGCCCTAGGAACTGCTTTGCTTTCCCCACATTGTGACTTAGGAATTAGTTGCTAATGTATAAATTTTAACACATCTCAGGCAAAAATTCAAAGTGGCTTCTCTTTTAAAGGCAAGACAACTGGATCAGAGAGATAGTACAGTGGGTAGGGAACTTTTTTGCACATGGCCAACCCAGGTTCAGTCCCTGGCAATTGCTGGAACTATGTGACAGTTGGATGCCTGGTAACTCAGCTTTACACTTCTCTATCTTGTCTATAAGGAAGTCATGTGGTACTTCAGTCAGATGTCCTGTGAAGATCCCTATTATGTCTTTATTGGGTCCCAATCTCTCTCTCTCTCTCTCTCTCTCTCTCTCTCTGTTTGGTTTTTGGATTGCAGACACCAAACCCTTGTCTTTCGTTATGGTACAATGAATTATTGGTACTGTGGAGTTCCACTCTCCTTTTACAAACATCAGTTTCTCAATCCCCTCCAATACGGAATGGCAGAGTGGACACCACATATAATGAGTTCCCTCACATTTCAGAGACAGACAAATTTTCCAGTCAAAAGAGAAATCAGGAAAAATTTCCTGGAGAAGGAGGACTCAATGTAGACTTTGTGCAATCCTAGTCAGCATCCTAGGTGACAGCTAAGTATTTGATGGGGCTTGGGTGTTTCAGAAGCTCAGGGTGAGTGAACCCTGATGTCCCTAGCTGCCTTGACAAAGCTGCAGCTCTTGAATGAGTGTACACAAGGCAGACACAGCAAGTGCCAGAGCACAGGCAGTTTGTTGGAATTTTCCATTCATTCATCAAATAGTTTCTGAGGGTCTCCCAGACAGACTCTGTCCTAAGTGCTGGCATAGAAATAAGTTGGGCAAGAACCCTACCCTCAAGTGTCTCCCATTCTGTTGGAGGGGGAAACTGTCTGGGCTGTCCAGTGGTTGAATTGTGAATGATTGGATTTATTTTCAGAGACGGGAGTTGAGAGGGGCTGGATTGTGGGAAAGACAGTTTTCTGTGGAATACTAAGCTAGAACGTAATCATTACAGTAATTATCATTCAAATGCCTGCCTGATATTTAAATGTGAGAATAATTCAAATGCTGTTGACTAGTTCTGTTTGAGGTGTGGGCTTGGACAGGGGATGAGATTAAAGCTAGAGCTGGAGGCATCCAAATTTACTCAGCAAAACGAACTGATGATCTGCTATGTATCAAATGTAAAGATGAAGTCCAGACATAGTATACTTACCCTTGTGGAGCTCTTATTTAGAGGACAGATATAATAATGATTATTTATAATCATGAGGATTCACTGAGCAGTTTCTAGGTGTCAGACACTGTGGGTGTCCAAGTCTGCCCTTTTACCTACATCATCTCCTTGAATGATCACAATTAGGAAAGAAAGTCTTCATTTTGTGTTGCTTTTTGGGCCATTCCTGGTGGTACTTATTCCTGGATCTGTGCTCAGGGATCACTCCTAGCGGTACTCAGGGGGCCATCTGCCGTGTGTTGGATCAAACCAGGGCCAACTATATGTGAGACAAGCACCTTAACTTCTCTAGTGTCTCTCTGACCCCCTGAAGTTTTTAAAAATAGGCGCCACACCAGTGTTCCTGGTGGAAGATGTTAGGGTCATTCTTACAGATGTATAATGTAGTGGGGGGGGGGAGTCAGGTCCAATGGTGCTCATCGGTCAGCAATGCCACCCCCAGCAGTGTTCAAAGATCCATGTAGTGCTGGGGATCAAACCCCAGTCTCAAATATGTTTAGCATATGCTCGATCATTTGAGTTATCCCTGTCCTTTTCTTTCTTTTTTTTTTTCCTGGATTTGTTTTTTAATTGTCCTGCTTTACAGATGATGAAACTGAGTTCTGAAGAAGCCACGTGATGCAGCTTTGGTTGCTATGTTGTGGTTTTTTTTTTTGGTACTGAGGATCCAACCCGAGGCCTCACCCATGCAAATGCACTTCCAATGAACTACATCCCAGGTCCCAGATGACCCGAGTTGAGGGCGGTTTTGTCCAAAAAGCTAAGGCTCTTTATTCCAGTATTGTGCTCTCTCCACATTCATGCTTTTAATCATCTGTTCACTTGGTGTCAGTGCCAGACTCTGCGTGGTCAGGGCACGCCTGGTATCAGAATGGAAATCAAATATAAATCCCTGAGCACAGATGAACTCACCCTGGGAGGGGTGAACAGGGTGGAGAAAACTCCTGTAGCTGGTTCCTTGTACACACCGCCATGTGGGGGTTCATGGAGCAGAGCAAAGGAGGACAGTGGGCTTAGGGTGGTCTTTTAAAGGCCACAGGGGAGAGAGTTTAGAGGAGAAGGTGGCCAGCAAGCTATCATGCCTGAGAGAGACCAAGTAAAGGCTAAATATGAGTGACACCCAGCTTCGGGGATTCCCTATGAAAGTCAAGTCGCTCAGGGCTGAGAAAGTAGCAGGAATGTGTGTGAGGAGGCATCTCTGTCCTGAAATGTGGTTTTTAGGGGGAAGGAATTGGGGTGAGCAGGCCACAGTGGCAGCCCATGGTTCCTGGCTTTGCCTTTGTTTGTGAGGTTAGAATGTCGGGCTCCTGTGTGTGTGCTGGGGCGGGGAGTAGAGGGAGGAACTGGCAGAGAAGAAGCTAAAATGCAGATCAGAGCTCCTCTTAGACATGGCCCCTGCCACTCTGTATAATTATTTGATGTCTTTACCACCTGCTTGCCCCAACCATGGAGTCTAGGAGCTGTCTCGTTCACACTGGGTCTCCATTGGACTATTTGTACTGAATAGGATTTGCCTGGTCCCTGAGTGTGTGTGTGTGTGTGTGTGTGTGTGTGTGTGTGTGTGTGTGTGTGTAGAAAGGGGACAATAGGAACAGGGTTGGAGGGTAGAGATGGTAGGGATGAGGTTAACACAGGTGGAGAATTTGACTGGGGGAGGTGTCTTTTTTTTTTTTTTTAAGATTTCTTTTTATTGAATCACCGTGAGATAGACCCTTAAAAAACTGTTCATGATTAGGTTTCAGTTGTACTGTGTTCCAACACCCATCCCTCCAGCAGAATACATTTCCCAGCATCAAGGTCCCCAGTTTCCCTTATATCAACCCTATCCCCACCCTCATCCCCAGCCTGCCGCTATGGTGGCACTTCTCTCTCTCTCTCTCTCCCTCTCTCTCTCTCTTTCTCTCTCTCTCTCCCTCTCTCTCTTTCTTTCTCTCTCTCTCCCTCTCTCTTTTTCTCTCTTTCTCTCTCTCTTCACCTTCCCTCCCTCCCCTCAACCCCCAATTTCTGCCCCCACCTCACCTACCCTCTGCCCCCCACACACTTGTGGTTGATTCCAACCGTTGATCAGTCCTCCTAGTCCCTGTCTTTGGGGAGATGTCTTTTTGTTGTTGTTGTTTTGGGGGTCACACCCGACGATGCTCAGGGGTTACTCCTGGCTCATGCACTCAGGAATTACTCCTGGCAGTGCTCAGGGAACCTATGGGATGCTGGAAATCGAACCCGGGTCGGCCGTGTGCAAGGCAAATGGCCCTATCTGTTGTACTGTTGCTCCAGCCCTTGGGAAGGTATCTTAATGGTAAAGTACAATCTTGTATGCATGAAACCTGGGTTCAATTGCACTGCACACAAAAACCAAGTGAAGAGATGCTCCAGCAGTAAAAAAAAGCAGGGAAAGGAATTTCAAAGATCAACTACTCCCAGCTGTATCCCTTGGCAACCATCCTAGCAAAGGACTCTTACCAAGGTAGATAGTCCCACATGGGGCAACTTGGGAGAAACCCTATAAAAGTCAACTTGAACAAAGAAAATGCACACATATGTTGCCCAAGCCCATGTGCTGCCTGTGCGCATGTGTTGTGGCCAAGCGCATGTGGTACCCAAGCACATGTGTTGCCCACATGTCCCCTCTTGAGATGGTTACTTTCATATCTAATGCTGCATGTATACTGGGGCTCTTCCTTTGGAGAAGCTATGTTTTCTCTTGAGCAAGTTATTTTTTTCTTTCCCTCTCTCCCCTTCCTCAAAAACCTCCAAATAAAATCTGTTTTGATTTTTTAAAAAAATCCAAGTGGTGAATTAAGAGAAACTCTATCCCCCCCACCCCCACCCCCACCCCATTCTTGGGAAAACACTCTGAAGTTCGCCTATCACTCTAGGTGATTATTTTGCTGTTTACAGCAATTTAGTAAATCACTTAATCCTAAAAGCCCTCTCTAAGGCAGGCCAACCACACCCAGCCCTGAAGCAGCATAGCTAACAGCCAGGAAGCCAGGACTTGAACCCTGGATATGACTTAAATCCAAATTTCCTGTACCCGGGCTGAGTCTGCAATGTTCCCTCAAGCCACACGCCTCCCACCCATCCTTATTTGATACTGTTTATTCCTTACCACCAGACTCTGCAAAGGCTGGGCATCATTATTCTCATATTTCACAGGAAAAGAGACAGCTAGCCACGGACCCAGGGGGTCATACAGCGACTACAAGACAGTGGAGACTCCAGCCTGGTGGTCTCCCCTTCTCCCCCAAAGGGAAGAATCACATGCATTTGGTGGAGAGTCAGGATGTAGTAGCTGGGTGGGGGAGATCAGGGCGCTTCCACAGGACTGGAAGCAGGACAGAGGACCCCGTCCCGGGCAGATTGTGAACAACAGAAAAAGGATGGGGCCCTCTGGTAGGGGTGCGGCTGGCTGCCAAGGCGGGTCCTGGGCTGAGGGCAGAAGGAGACAGAAGTAAATGTGAGAAGGAGCAGGGCGGGAGTGAGGGGAGTGCTGGGGGATTTGACAAAGGCCCGGGGGGGGGGGGTGGTGGCGGGAGGGAGGTTGCACCCAGAAGAGGTTCGAGGTCCCTGGGTTGGGGGTGGCTCAGGCCAGATACTCGTCAGCGTGGCTCTTGCTGGGCTTGAGCCAGCAGCCACTCTGGCTCAGAGAAGACAAGAAAACCCCAGGCTCCTGAGAGGGAAAGCCTTCCTATGAGTCTTAGCAAGAATCTTGGAGCCGGCCCACGCAGGGCTGTGGGAGGGGGACAGGGAGGCCTTTAAAACCCAGCTGGCCCTGGCTGGGGCTTCTACAGGCCTGAGGAAGGAGCCAGCTCACGGGTGAGAACACCTCTGCTGGGGGCTGTGTGTGTGTGTGTGTGTGTGTGTGTGTGTGTGTGTTTTGTGTGTATGTCGCGTGCGTGGCACATGTGAGGGCTCCCAGGGCATATAGGGGCTGAAGGAGAAGCATCTAGCCCACCCTGTTGGGGAGTTTCAGAATGCAGGGAGGGGCTTTGTGGGGAGCCCCCGGTTCTCTTTGCCCCTCCCTCTAAATTGTGAGGAGGGCTCAGCAGTGCTTTTATGCATATAGCTTGCTGCTTTTCATCCTTTGCAGCTAGGACATATGAACTGAAGGTCCTGGGAGCTCATGGGGGGTGGGTGTGTTGCGGGGACATGCTGCCTTATATGGAGGATCTGTCCCTCCAGTGACCCAGCCTCTTCTGGGCCCTTGTTTTGATGCCCCGTCAGGCTGTCTGTCTCCAGCTCTCCACTGGTGATTACTGCGGCCCCTGCTCCACACCAGAATTATCTCTGGGCTGTGCTCATTCAGCGTTGCGGTTGCCTGATAAAAATAACCAACCCCACATCCTTCTCCATTCATGGTTCATTTTCCAAGGCCCAGAAGCACCTCTTCCGATGCCTCTGCTCTCTCCTTTGTGAAACTTCTTTTGCATTCTTTGAGACCCCTTTAGTGGGGACTCCACGGTATACCCCCTACACACCTACCATGTTCTAGAATGACCTAAACTACATCTCTGGGATTTGGGCTTTATTTCAGTATGGGGAGGCTTAACAGTTCAGAAGATGATCACCACTGGAGAGATAATTTGTTACTCACTGTTTCCAAGAGAAAGGGATGCACCGTAGCATGCAGGGTCACACTGGAGCACCAAGGGTCATCAGTAGGCAGAAGGAATGGGCAGAGGCATGACCCAGAGCCTTTATTGGGTTTTATGCAGGAAAGACAGGCGGGCAGAGTCAATGTTTAGGATTGGCTAGTTGAAATTGTAGCACACTCTGGGTTCCTGCTCAGGCCCTGGTCCTGGGGTGATTTAGGGCTGGGGAAATATGGGCTTGGAGTGTGAGTGCTGGATAAGGAAGTGGTCAGGCATGAGAGGTTAGAATTTGGTGATCTACTACAAAAAGACACTTAGTGGATAGTCTTTTGCTATCTGTAGATATTCTGGGAAGGGGGCAGTTTTTTCCCAACCTCCCAAGGCTTCCAAGCTGTTTCTTAAAATACAGAAAGTAAGCTACCTGAATAATACACAGGGGCTGTCCAGAGGCAGTAGACTAGAGTCAGTTTGAAGAGTAGATTCCTCAGCTCGGCTAAGGGTCCCCAGTGGGTTTAAAGAAATAATGATCAGTGCCTGGCACCTCAGGGTGCTGGTTATCTTCCCCCTGTTGCAGGTCCAAAAAGCAGTGGAAAAAGTTGAGGCAGGGTACCATCTAGGGTCATTTCCCCTGGATGTTTAGGGGACTCAGAGCAGACACTGTGATTGGAAGGAACCCTCAGGAATGTTCTTGGAACTCAGAACGGCTGCTGGACAAAGGATGGCATGGAGACCCTGGGGACTGGAGGTGTGTCTGCAGTCTGGGCTCGGGAAGTGCCAGGCCAGGGCAGAACACTGGCAGAAGTGACTGTGGAGTGCAGAGAGGGAGAGGCAGGGTTTTGCGAGAACTCCCAGTGACCCCGAGTTCAGCTGAGGAGATGGGCAAACAAGGACGCTGGGATGCTGGAAAGGAGGTGGTGCGGGGGGGGACAGGCAGCAGGCAGTCACCGGCAGTGACCTCTGAGAGCAAAGTCAGAGTCAACACCTGGCTAGAGACTTGGAGAATCGCCTCTCCCTCTGGCTGCAGGGTTTTGTGGACTCAGGGCCGGTGATTAATAGGTTTGCAGGAGGCACAGGATAGAGAGGATGGGATCAGAGGCCTCCGGGGCTATGAGGGGAAACACGGGAGAGAACCCGGTCCCCTCAACTCACAGGAGAAACTCAGCTCGGTGAAGTGCACACACACCCTCAATTTAAACCTCTTTCTTGCTATGTTACTTCTGGCAAGTTCCTTGAACTCTCTGACTCTCTATTCCTTTACGGGGTTCAGCCTTTCCAGTCATCAGGAACATTGAAGATAACTCATGACATTTATTTGTTTATTTTAGTTTTGGGGCCAGGCCTGATAGTGCTCAGGCTTTACTCTTAGCTTTGCATCAGGGATCGTTCCTGGCAGACTCAGGGACCACTGGGATGCTGTGGAACAAAGCTGGATTGGCTGTGTACAAGGCGAAAGCCCTACCCGCTGTACTATCACTCCAGCTCCTGAATTACTCTTTAGGTAGGTGTGAGGCAGATATGGTGCAAAGGACATAGGAAAATGTCTTAATTAAATTCTTTTAAAAGAAGGAAAAGGAATCAGGGATGTGGGTCAAGTGGCTGAGTACATGCATCACATGAGCAAGAACACACACACACACACACACACATAAAATCAGGAGGAAAAAATAGTGACAATAATAATAATGAATATGTTATCTTAAGTTAGCCTGGTTGTATTTGATTTTATTATTTCAATGCTATTGTAACATAGAATGTGAAAAGAATTACAGAGGAAAAGGGCCTATGATCATCAGAGTACTTTGGATCCCTAAAGGCCAGGCAAGTCTCAGAAATGCTCAAACTTCCTCCCTGAGTACCTACTTGGAGGTGGGCAAAACTGTATTTGGGGACTGGAGAGATGGTGGGTAAAGCACTTGCCTTGCATGCAGCTAACTGGGGTTCAAGCCCTGTCCCCCATATGTTTCCCTGAGTCTTGGCAGGTGGGATCCCTGAGCACAGAGCCAGCAGTACCAGCTGGCTCAGCTTTGAGCACCACTGGGTGTGACCCCCAAACCAAACCAAACTCTGTGTTGGTGATACAGGTAAAACAGCTCAACTCCTGTCTCCAAGACATCAGTACAAGACACCCCTGAGATGGGCATGAGATGGAGAGGAGTGTGAGTCACGGGAGCCAAGATGATTCAGTAGCAAATAGTGTCTATGCTGCAGCGTGAGGCTATGAGTTCCAGCCCTGGGGGTCCAGCAAGCATGGTCTGGCAGCGCTGCACATTGGGCCACACTTCGAACACAGAGGAACCCCATCAAAGAAGTGTGTGATCCCCATAAAGCACCCCAATCAAACCTGTGAGCAACCCCAGTCACTGCAGCAATGAAGGGAAGGGAAGATGGATTCCTTTTTCTCAGAAATCTCTCTGAGTAAAAGAGGAAGATTCTGAAAGAGGAAGGAGTACAAGTCTCTGTGTAAACTCACACAAAGGGGGAGCAGCACACAGCGGTGGTGGCTCTATCTCTCCCGCCGCCCGCGTTCCGTAGTCTCACCCTTCTCCCACCCCAGAGAGGTTGATGGCGATGGTCAGGCGATGGTCAGGCGGAGGAAGGAAACGAGGGCCAGGCTGGTTGGCATTAGTAGTAGTTTATTTCATTCCTCTCTCCATCTACACCAGTCTCTCTTGTCTGTCTCTGCTTCTGTCTCTGCTCCCCTCTGCCCAATCTACAGTCTCATTATATCTCTCTCCAAGAGGAATTGGGGGAACAATTACACATAGGTGCGGTCACAATCAATAGGGGTAGAACTCTTAGCCTCAGGGAAAGCTGCTCCTAGGACAGATCCTCATTATCAGATCAATCCACCCTAGAGTGGATTCTCCTGGGTGTATTTCTCCTCTCCTTGTCTAGCAAACATATAAGCATATATAATATAAATCATTTTGTATGGATACAGTAAGAAATATCTTAAACTTATAGAAATATCTTAAACTTATAGAATTGCTCTCCTGGGGCCATCTCGATCTCAGACTACAGTGCTCAGGCCAGATAGTCTTTCCCACCCCTAGCAGGATCCCTTCGTCGTTACCTTTGGATCATGACAACATTTGTCTATGATCAAACTCTTAACTAGGCACCTTGGCCTGGCCCATTTCGCTGCCCTAGGTCCATTCAGTCCCTCGTCGGGACCCTGCTTTTGGGGTGTTAGGAACTAAGGGCAACTGAGGCTTAAGTCGAGAAAGCAGATGCCTGGGAGTGAATAATATTCAAAGCCAATCAAATCCTAAGTTACAAAGCATGATGTTAACGGTTTTCCTGTATCTATACAAAAAAGATATTACTTTAAGGTAAACTGTTCATAAGGCATAAGGGGAGGAGAAAGGCAATATTTAAATCACTCATACATATAAAATCATAGATTTCTGGGAAACTGATCTTACAAATTAACAAAGTCTGATTAAGGGGAAAGCTGATTAACTGGGTGGGAAGGAAAGCATAGGGAAGACTGTTTACCGATAAACACAATGGAAGTGGAAATGCTTCAGGAGCACTGTGATGGGTGTAACCAGATAGATGGGTGTAACCAGATAGATGGGTGTAACCAGATAAACCTAAGCTTCTTGTGGAAGAAGGACAAAGCAATGTCACCCTACATCTCCCCCTTTTCTGTTTAGAAAAACACAAAAATTTGAAATAGAAAGAGTAACGATTACAAACAAAAAGGTCTCATTTGATCACAATTTGAAGAGTTGTTTCTGCAACAGCAACAGTATTAACCTAAAATATTTGGAGCTATATTCCAACAGACTCAGAAACTCATTTTCCTCTTTCTTCTGGCCCTGCCCAGGTTCCCTCCATCAGTCCATCCAGGGATCTCCTCTCTCAGTCCATCTGTCCTTCATCAAGGCCAAGTCCAGTCAATTCTGCTTATCCCAACCAAACTGCCTTTCACTGAAGAATCTCCTCTATTTCTCGGGTCGCCTTTAACCATTTCCTGCAACTGCGTCAAGGGCAGTTGTGGGGGAAAATTCTCTCCCATCCGTTTGTAATAGGAATGGCACCCGCATGAATCTATCTCCCCCACCAAAACTCAAAGTCCCTGTCTAAGCTGTTTGTCCTCCACCTGGTGCAGTTGTATGCAGTTGTTGGGTCAACAACTTAGGCCCCTTGCCTCACTTTGCCTGTTCACTGTCCTCCCCCTCCATGAGAAGGTGGGGTCCTGGGGGACTCAGAGCTAGCGCCTGATTGATAAGCCTCTCATGAGTTATGTTTTCTTTTCCAGAACCCTGAAGATGAGACGCCTTCTCATGCTGGTTTGGCTCCTGGCTTGTAAGTGCTAGCCCCATGGCCTCTGACCTAGGGGTCTTGCATTCTATGGGCAGAGCAGGTTCACGGGCAGGAGGCCCATCCTGGAGTCCAGAGCCCCAACATTGAACTTGGGCTCTGCGTTTGCCGTGGAAGTGCCTCAGCCTCTGGGCCTGTTTTCTTATCCATACCACAGAGCATAGCATCACATGACACCAGAAGTCGGGCTGAGGCTAGATTCCAGGGTGGAGTGGGGGTGGTGGACACAACGCAACTGCACCAGGTAGAGGACAGACAGCTCAGACAGGGGCTTTGATGCAAAATAAAATTCAATCAAGCCCACACAGAAGTCCAATAGAAGTGAGATCCTAGGGGCTGGAGCAATAGTACAGTGAGTAGAGCATTTGCCTTGCACGCAGCCGACCCGGGTTCTATTCCCAGCATCCCATATGGTCCCCTGAGCACTGCCAGGAGTAATTCCTGAGTGCAGAGTCAGGAGTAAACTCTGTGTATTGCCAGGTATGACCCAAAAAGCCAAAAAAAGAAAAAGAAAAAGAAGAAGTGAGCACCTTACCTCAATATTCCACCATTTCCAGCTCAGGTTCACTCCGGCCTATCTAGGCCTTCCACACACCCCACCCGCTGCAGGCTCCCTGCTAGAACTAACTGCTCAGAACAGGGACGGCCCACTGTGGCCCTTCCTCCATAGTCCATATCCTTCCCCCTGACAGGCTACCGAGCTCTTTAAGGTCCTGACAGATTCCTGGAAACTCAAGGAAACCCAAGAATGTAGAGAGAGCTGCTGACTCAATGCTCGACCCTGAACAAGGCACCATCCCCGACCAAGCCTTAGTTCCCTGGAGATGTGAGAGAGATTGCCTTTAGTAGGCCCCAGTAACGTCTCCTTCATCCTAGCCCTGAGATTTTTTTTAAAAGTACCATATTCAAGGCTCTTTCAGGATTAGGAGGATGAGACCCATCATTGTTACTGTTATTTAGCATATTGGGTATGCCATGGGGAGTTTGCCAGACTCTGCCATGTGGGCAGGTCACATTCAGTAGCTTGCCAGGTTGTCCAAAGTAAGAATGAGATAATACGATGTCACTTCCGGGAGTTGGGTTTTATAGTCTCTGGGTCTTGGCCATTGATGGGATTACACGGCGCCAGGGGGTCAGTTGGTGGGTGTGACCCCTGCCTCCTGGAAGATGGAGGATCTGGGTGGAGGATGCTCAGCCCCGATCCAAGCAGTCTTGGAGATCTCAGCCCTGGGACCTGCATGCCTTTGTTCCTCTGCCGGTACCTTCATGCATGTGGAGAGTGGTCTTAGCATGGTTGTGGCTGGTTCTGGAGGTCTTCGGCTGCTGGAGCTCTGCTTGGGGTGGGGAGGGAAATTCAACCCGCCCCCCCTCCAAGGGGCCCTGGCGAGGACAGCCAGGTGCGGGGGCAGGAGACTCTGCCGTGAGAGAGATGGTTTTCACAATCTCAAAGGTGCCATCCTCTTCAAGGATTCTGTGCTTTAGGTGTTAGTAGGGAGTATAGAGGAGTAGAAGAAGTGGTGCATTTTCAGGGGACACAGAAACTTCTCTTACCTATTTCATACAGAAGCTGTATTCATTATACTTTGTGTGTGTGTTTTTAAATGTTTACATGTATTTTCCAACATACTTGTATCTGCGCAAAGAGTATATACCTTGGGCTGGGAACATGGCTCAAGTGATAGAACCTGTGCCTTGCTGTGTGAGGTATGGCTTCCAGGGATAGGCCTGACCCCTGAGCACAAGCAGCATCAACACGAAGAGGGAGAATGAAAAAGACATGTGGCTGTAGCCAAGCCCCACAGGTGGAAGAAAGGGCTGGAACACAAGAGGTTTCATTCCCGGTTTGTCTTTCAGCTGTGCCCACTGTGCCCGGGGGCTTGCTGGAGCTGAAGTTAATGATTCAGGAGGTGACGGGCAAGTCTGCTCTGAAGAGCTATGGCTTCTACGGCTGCTACTGTGGCTTGGGGGGCCAAGGGACCCCCATGGACCGTACCGATTGGTGAGCTGATGATTAAGTGCCCTTTGTGTTCTGGGTCCTGTGCTCCCTCTTTCTCATTTTTTTCTCTTCTGGAAGATGAGTACTAAATTTTATAGAAGCCCCAATTTTACAGAAAAGAAAAAGGAATCTCAGGGAGATTAATTGAAGTGTGTATACATGCGTGTATCCAGATGCTTTGGATCATTTTCCAGATCACTGCAACCTGATGTGTCCCTTGGATGATTGTTATATAACAAACCATCTCCAAATGCAGTGACTCCAAAGGGTAATGAGTATTTTGTTTATGGGAGTCAGACATTTAGGTAGGATGAGGTGGGATGGTCTCAACTCCCCCACCTCTCATCTTGGGCAACTCAACTGTGGCTGTCCGGTCCGCTTTCCCAACAGCTCACTGCCATGGCTGACACATGATGCTTGTCTGTTGGCTGGGAGCCCAGTGGGCACTGCGAGGTAGGGTGGGGGGATGAAGGAAGGAGCTCCTCTCTCTGAGGCCCAGCCAAGGTTGTTTGGACTTCACAGCATGGTGACTGCTGGATTGATTCCAAGAGGAAGTGTCCCAAGATTGCAAGATAATAGAATCTGGTCTTTTTCTGACCAGGCCTCAGAAATCCTATGGAGTCATTCCCATTCACTTTTGCTGTAGACTGTCACAAAGGTTTTCAATGCCAGAGGCCCTGGATTCCTGGTTAGGTGTTGAAGCTCCAAAACCTGTGAGATAGGATTGCTCTTTAGAGAATGCAATCTTTTGGACTAACAGTTTTGATGTTCAATACAGCAAAATAGGCAGTTCAGCAAATTGGGGACAGATGATTGGAGCCTCACTTTTTCAGCTGGGGTGGGAGTTTACAGACAGCAAGGAGAAGATGTAAAACCAATCCATGTGGTGACTGTGAAGAGCTGGAGATGCAGTTTTGTTTAGCTATTAAGAATATGTATATATCCCATCTTCATCCTTGCTGTGTGTATATATATATATTAATAGGTGGGCATAACTGGTTGATATAAAATATATATTTAGGTCCTCATCTGAGAGTATCTAAGAGAAATAATATCCCAACAGCAATAAGCAAAATGTATTATCCAGATTTGCTTTATAATCATTTTCTTCAATAAAAGGAAGGAGGCTTCTTGGAGAAATGGCAGATTCTAGGATCAGGGGAGGAACTATACTAGATGAACCAAAAACCTTTAACGCTGAAAAGTAAGAATATGCTCTGATGAACTGAAGTAAACCCCATGTTGATGGGTGTGTGCAAAGGAGCACAGGAAACCTCAGATAGAACCCCAATAGTAATCATTAGAATAATCTGAATCTGTTTTTCATCATCATTTTTCATCATCCTGTTAATCGTCGATTGCCTCGAGCAGGCCCCAGTAACATCTCTTTCATCCTAGCCCTGAGATTATATTCATGGCTCTTTAGGAGAATGAGACCCATCATTGTTACTGGTATTTGGCATATTTGGTAGGCCACGGGGAGTTTGCCAGACTCTGCCCTGTGGGCAGGCTACATTCGATAGCCTGCAAGTTTGTCCAAAGTAGGAATGAGATAATAAGATGTCGCGCGGCCGCGAATGCGGCCGCGCGGTTCCGGGATCTGGATTTTATAGTCTCTGAGTCTGTATTAAGAGAAAAATTGCAGAGAAATCCTCAGTAGTAGGGTGTCCTATAATACTCCAACCTGACAGGCTGGAGTCCCAAGGGTTGGAAGTCATGTGTTGCATGTGGGAAAGTGGGGTTGTATCCCCTGTACTGTACAGTCCCCTAAGCACCACCAAGCACAATCCCTGAGCAGTGCTGGATATAGTCCCCAAACAAAAGCAAACCACTCCTTCAAAAAACACCTGACCAGCACTCTTCAAAACTGTCAAGATCTTTTGACAGAGAAGGACAGTGTGGGAAAAGGGTAGGTTGTGGTGGAGCTTATTGGTGGTGTGGGTGGTGTGTAACTCCCATTTGAAAAGGTGTGAACTTATACTCCTGAAACATATTCAGTGATGAAAACCAGCATTCATGCAATAAAACTAGTTACAAAAAAGCCAGGAAAGTGTGAGAAACAACCCTAGCCAGAGGGGCCTAAGGAGACATAATGATTAAGTGGTGTCCTAGATAAAATCGTAGACCAGAAAGAGTCATTAGGTAAAAACAATGAAATCTAAGTACACAGTGGACTGTTAACACTGATGAATCAATAATGATATATTCTATTATGAGTTAATAGTTATTTAGTCAATAGTGTATCCATTTTGGTGTGTTCGTTATAATAAGTATATCATTCAAATATAAGATGTTAATAATAGGGGAGATGAGGTGTGGGTCAATGGGAACAGTCTGCACCATCTTCACAAGTTTTTTGTAAATAAAACAGCAGTGCTCTTTCGAGAGCAGCTCTCCTCCTCCCTTCTCTTTGCCTGGTCACAGGCACCTGGGTCACCTCTGCCAAGCCCTTTCTCTCAGCATCTCCCTCTCTTGCCTCGGCAGGTGCTGCTGGGAGCATGACCAGTGCTATGGACATCTGCAGGAGGAAGGCTGCAACATCCGGACGCAGTCCTACCGATACCGAGTCCAGCGGGGCAAGGTCACCTGTGGTAAGCTGGAGCCTCCCACTTAGACACTGTCCCTCGAGGTTAGTCAGCCTCAGTTGGGGACAGGGAGGGGGTCAGGAGTACTACAGCAATGGCTGATGTCTAGAAGGGCAGAAGGAGCAGTCACGCGATGCCAATCCTTTGCCTTTTTGCTTGCTCCCCCAAATACTTTGCGGCAAGGGTCTAATCTCTAGGTTTTACAGATGAAGGATCAGTGGTGACAGCTAGAATGGGACTTTGAGCTCAGGGCCGTGAGAATTCAAAGCTGATACTGAGGATGGTGTCCCCATGAGAAGTGGGGTTCCTCCAGAGCAAGGGGTTGCTTCCATTAGTAATCTAGGAGCTCCCAAGATAGGGATTGTGTGTCTTCCCTCCATCAGACCAGGAGCTCCCTGTGAGCAGGAACTGTGTCTCCCAGGGCTGAAACCTCAGCCCTCATGGCTGCGGGGCCTCCTCCATCAGATCATCCATCCCTGCCCTGTTGAATTTGGGGTTTCCTGATCCCAGAGTTTCTCAGTCATTTTCCCATTGTGACCTATTTCAGGCCTTGCTTCCTTCCTATGCCCCACCCTGTCCAACTGAGTGGGCCCCTAGTCTATTGCTGTGAGGAGACCTTCCCCTGTTGTCCCTTGGAATATCCTGAGAAATGTTGCCCTAGCAGGAGCTTGCTGCAGCAGGAAGCAGCCCCAGGAATCTGCTCAGACTAGAAGCAAGTCATGTCAAGACAAAGGTGTCTGGACTATGTTTCTTACACTGTGTCTGGTGTTCGCAGGGCGTGGGACCTTCTGCCAGATACGGCTTTGCGCCTGTGACCAGAAGCTAGTCTATTGCCTGAAGAGAAACCTATGGAGCTACAACCCTCGTTACCAATACCACAACAAATTTTTGTGCAGATAGTCAGCCTTGCTGGGATCCCATAGACCCAGACTCGTGCCACACATGCTGGGGTATCTGCCGGGTCTTCCAGAAGGATTTCCATTGGGTGCCCCTTCATTCAGGGTTCCCTGGGGAAGCCTCAGCCTTCGCTTCACCTGAGGATACCCAAGATTGATTCTGGTCAGAAGACTTCTCATTCCTGTGTGGCCAGAGGTCAGCCATGGGAGTGCTGAGGGAAACCCCCCCCCCCCCCCCCAATTCTAGGCAAACTGGGATCCCTCTCAGACTCTGAGTATACCTGTATTCAACTTTCCAGGACACATTTGCTTTTCACAGCCTGCAGCTGACTTATCACTATCACCCTTGAGAGAATTTTTACTCAAGTAGAAATAAAATTTACTCCATAAATCTATTATTTAGACACTAAATAAAATTAATTCTTGAGATCCATGTGAACTGCCCAGTCAGACACGTGCCTCGGCTGTGAGGGTCTCATCTGTGCCTCCTGCTTTGTCCTCAAGATCCTAAGTCCAAAGTTGATGAAGTTCTCTCAGAGGTAGGGGGTACAGAGTAGGAAAGAAAAGGGCTTCTGGGGTGAACCTTGGGACTTCTTTGGGGTTCATTTTCTTAACCTTTACAAGATTCTAGAACCAGCCTGGGCCTTGTTCTTCCTCCAGCAGGAGAGGAGATGATTGGCAATATACTTCCAGGTCAGGGGGCACCATTCAAATGCAGCCTTGGGAGCCGGAGAGAGCTTCAAGGACAGAGTGCACACTTTGTGTGCAGAAGGCCTGGTTCAAACCCAACATCACATGGCCTCATGAACACTTAACTGAGAGTAGCCCATAAACAAAACACAGGTGTGCCCGCAAAAACAAATTGTGTCCTGGCATCTGCAGCTGTGTGGTCTCAGATCCCACCCCAGGACCTCACAAAGTTTCAGTCTCCTTGGAAAAATAATCAAACGAAACAAAAAAGGGGACTGAGGAGGTGGCCTGAGGGGCAGAACGTAGCACAGAGAGGTCTTGATTATGAGGTTTTGGTTTTGGGGCCACACCTGGCAATGCTCAGGGGTTACTCCTGGCTCTGCACTCAGGAATTATTCCTGATGGTGCTCAGGGGCCATGCTGAGATCTCCAAGCCTGCTCGGATCGGAACTGGGCCTTCTCCAGCCAGATCCCCCACCTTCCAGTAGGTAGGCGTTACACCCACCAGTTGGTGCCGGCGCCAGGTGATTCCCATCAACGGCCAAGACCCAGAGACTATAAAACCCAGACATCATATTATCTCATTTTTACTTTGGAGAACCCAGCAGGCTACCAAAAGTATCCTGCCCGCACGGCAGAGTCTGGCAAACTTCCCGTGTCGTACTCAATATACCAAATACTAGTGACAATGCTAGGTCTCATTCTCCTAGCCCTGAAAGAGCATTGAATATGGCTCTTTTAAAGTCTCAGGGCTAGGAAGTAGCAGACGTTACTGGTGCCTGCTCGAGGCAATTGACGAACAACAGGATGATCCTGATCTTGATTGGTGCTCAGGGGAACAGGTTGGATGCTGGGGATCAAACCTGGATCAGTTGCATTCAGAGACAATGCCATATCTTAGTATCTTATCTTGGAATATCTCTCCAGCTCCAAAGGGGATTTGAGTCTGAGATGCTGCATGCTTCCTCAAGAACTATCTGGTGTAATCCCTGTTTAAAAAAAAAAGAAGAAAAGAAGTCATTGTTGAATGGACATGTCAAAGACATTTTGACACCAGGAATGCTGAGGTTCTGGGGTCTCACAGAGCTGGGCTTTAACCAAGTTGCAGCAATGGGGTTTAGTTTTACCAAGTAAGGACATTAAAAATCCAAAGTCATCTATCAATTCTTCCAAGAAAGGGTGCTTGAATACCAAGACTGCAGAAAGAAGTACTCATTCCAAAACATGGTCCTTCCTGAGAAAGGGCCTTTGGCTTCCTTAGCCTGAAATAATCACACGATAAATAGGGTCTGTATTTAAAAACCTCTGGTGTTGAATACTTTCATGACCAAATTTAATTTCATGAGATTACCCTGAATGGTCTAGTATTTTAGAAAAGTATGATATAGAGTACCAGATGGGGCTCAGATGTCCAGGAAGACTATGAGTATGTTTTTATCAAGATTTTCCAAAGTATTGCAGCTATCTGAATTCTTTCTTCCTTTCTTTCTTTCTTTCTTTCTTTCTTTCTTTCTTTCTCTCTTTCTTTCTATCTGTCTTTTCTTCCTTTCTTTTTTAATTAGTTGCTTTTTTTTATTGATTCACCGTAACAAAATTTTAATGTTTGAGCTTCAATCACACAGTCATCAAATACCCATTCCTTCACCAGTGCGTGTTTTCCACCACCAAAATCCCCAGTATCCCCTCCCCCACCCCCATTCCACACGTCCCCCTGCCTGTGTGGCAGACAGTTTGCACAACACTCTCTTTCTCTGGGCTGGAGCCATAGCACAGTGGGTAGGGCGTTTGCCTTGCATGAGGCCGACCCGGGTTCTATTGCTCTGTCCCTCTCGGAGAGCCTGGCAATTTACCGAGAGTATCCCACTCACATGACAAAGCCTGGCATATTCAATGTGCCAGTGGGATACCTGTGACATATTCGATATGCCAAAAAACAGTAACAACAAGTCTCACAAAGAAGACATTACTGGTGCCCGCTCGAGCAAGTTGATGAACAACCGGAGGACAGTGCTACTCTCTTTCTCCATTTTAGTTACCTTCGATATTTGAGTCCAGTCCCACCACCACTCATACCTGCCGAAAATGCAATGCTAGAAAACGTGTTTTGTATTGCTTGTTATGGATACAATATAATGTTGTGCAGCCACCAGAGCAGCCGCGCACTCTAGGAATTCTAAAATTTTAATAATTAGGGTCTGAAGAAATTGCTGCAGCAAGTCACTCAGGATTCGTTTGTGTTTCTCTGGATCATGGCCGTGTAGGAGCTTAAGTAGACGGTGGCTGGATGTGGCGTCATCTCAGAGTCCCATCGGGGCGGGGGTGGGGGGAAGGAGAAGGGCCCCCTCCTCCTCTGTCCCAGGAGGCCTGGCATTTGCCACCACCACCACCACCACTCGTACCTGGAGCTTGTCATTGCAAAGTCCAGGGCCATCTCAGCAGCAGTGTCTCGGGTTCTAGATTCGTTTGTCTTCTTTCTTTTCTTTTCTTTTCTTTTCCTTTCTTTCTTTCTTTCTTTCTTTCTTTCTTTCTTTCTTCTTTCTTTCTTTCCTTCCTTCCTTCCCTCATTCCTTCTCTTCCTTCTTTCTTTCCTTCCTTCTCTTCTTTCTTTCTTTCCTTCCTTCTCTCCTTCTTTCCCTCCTTCCTTCCTTCCTTCCTTCCTTCCTTTCCTTCCCTCCCTCCTTCCCTCCCTTCCCCCTTCCTCCCTCCCTCTCTCTCCCTCCCTCCCTTCTTCCTTCCTTCCTTCCTTCCTTTCTCTTTCTTTCTTTCTTTCTTTCTTTCTTTCTTTCTTTCTTTCTTTCTTTCCCTCCCTCCCTCCCTCCCTTTCCTTCCTTTCTTTCCCTCCCTCCCTCCCTCCCTCCTTCCTTCCTTCCTTCCTTCCTTCCTTCCTTCCTTCCTTCCTTCCTTCTTTCCTTCTTTCCTTTCCCCTGTTTATCTTTCTTTTTTGTTTTTAACCCAAACCTGGTGGTGCTCAGGGTTTAATACTAACTCTGTGTTCAGGCATCATGCCTGGCAGGACTCAAGAGACCATGTGCAATGCCAAGGATCAGACCAGGTCTATCTCAGCAAGTGCTCTACCTGCTTTCATCTTTCCCTCCTTTCTGTGACACCCCCTTCCACCCATCCTAGTCAAGTAACTTGGATTCATTACTTCTAGGTGACCAATTAAGTTGGTGCCATAGTTATTTTTAGTGAACACTGAAAATACTATGGGAGTGGGGAGCTTGTAAGAACATGATGGATGCAAAGTTTTCAGTTCTACTCAAGAGCTGTCCAAGGGCCAGGAAGAAGACAGAAGACAGCTGTTTGCTGGAGGATGGTCTGAACTTAAGCAGCAGGTATTCCCACCATAGCTGCTGCCACAGATGTGCTCTGGTTGCAAGGGAAAATCCAGAAAGATTCTAGTCTGCGGCAGCAGGCTGGTTTTTTTTCTTTTCACCTTTGAGTAAAGCCATCAGAAGCCTTCACTTCTGCCTCCAGAATTCAGGGCCAGCAGTATGCTTGTTTTCCCCCTAGTGCTCTGGCATTTGGTATGAACTGGCCTGCACATGACCTTCATGGTCTCTGCATTTCCCAGGACATCATCCTGCTCATTGGACCTGGTGATCAGGAAGAAACAATGACTGTAGACACCTGTGTGCCAGAGGTGGGAAATAAATCCCACAAAAAGTCAAGGGTCTGGAACTTTAGTGGCCTCTCACAGGGTGCCAGGGTTTGGAGCATGCAGCGAGAGCCTTTTCCAGGTCTACGCCAGATGGTGCCTGCTGGCCCTCCCATATGTTGAGAAAGGAGCACAATGCCTTGTAGGCCCCTTGGATTTTGGAGACAGCTCTAAAAAGCTGATTTGATGGGACTACTGCAACTCATTGTAAGATGACGGGGTCGACTGCCTGCCATGAGAGGGGTCCTGTCCCAGGAAAGGCTCTGAGATAGGTCCAAGTTGCTGTGCAGGTGACACTGTCTCTCTCGTAGGAAGAGGATGAACTGGCAGATGTGTGCGCAGGTGAAAGAGCCACATGGGAGCTTTGGTATGATAGGCCCCACAGGTAAAACACAGGGCAGATGCTTGGGACCTGGGAGAAAAACCCTGCTGTCAACTATAGCTCAGAAAATTGCTCTCCTTTTGAAAATAGCAGCTGGTTTACAGATGGGCCTTGGTTAGCATGAACTCTCGACCTTGGTTACCAAGGTACAAGAGCCAGGTTGCTTCTGATGAGTTAGCTGACCCACCGAGTTAGAAAGTAGGGTGTGCACAGCAGCACCTCCACCCAGAAATGGAAATGGTCTATGTGAAATGATCCATGCTCCTGGCCAGTGTAGGGGATTGGTGTCCAAGGCTCAGAGAGTCATGTGCAAGAGGTACTGATGCTTTGGCCCAGATGCTGCCCATAATATCTGCTACTTAACCTGTAGCAAGGGTTTCATAGGCCAATTCCACATGTCCGACAGAATGAGGAAGAAGAAGAGCCCATGCTCCTCCCCCTGGGCGTGCTCCTGAAAATGAGCTTACGGTGCGTGCTGTGTCCACATGCAGCCACACACAAGACCAGCGCTGGACACCTCTGCATGGCTGTTTTGGGCCCATGCTCCTGGCATCTGTTCTCCTCATGAAAACTGGGCTGTCCCCTTCTGATTGGTCAGTCAGAAACACTCACCCTTGAGGTTGGAGTAATAGTACAGCGGATAAGGCGTTTGCCTTGCGGCCGACTCGGGTTCAATCCCCGGCATCCCATATGGTCCCCCAAGCACCGCCAGGAGTAATTCCTGAGTGCAGAGCTAGGAGTAACCCCTGAGCAATGCTGGGTGTGACCCAAAAATAAAAGAAAAAAAAAAAGAAAGAAACACTCACCCTTGAGCCCTCAGAAATCGAACCACCTTCTAAAAACCTCCCAGGTTGTGACCAAATCTCATTTCTCACAGAATCCAGAAAGACTACAACTGATCAGAAAGCATCACTGAGCAGAGGTTCTTAACAATTCAGGGCCTTTGACGCCCCTCTCTCTCCTTATTAGAAAAGGACACGGGCTCCAAAGACATCTCTCCCTTCCTCTTGGCAGAGTTCTCAAACCTTCATGAAGGTCTTTTCCCTGCTGACTGTTCTGCCTTTCTGGTCTCAGTTCCCCATGAGTCCTCATCTCAAAAAACTCCCCTCCTTCATTCTTGACCTCTGCTCTCCTAGCTACCTTGGCTCATGCAGTGGTTTTTCCTCCAGGATGTCTAGCCTGTCATTCTACCATTGAATTAAAATTTTTCTTATATGGAACAATTATCATCAGCATCTTCATTATTGCATGTCATCCTTGCGCAGGGGCCATGCTAATCTTCTCTGTATCGTTCCAATTTTAGTATATGTGCTGCTGGAGTGATAGCACAGCAGTAGGGCGTTTGCCTTGCACGCAGCCAACATGGCCGACCCGAGTTCGATTCCTCCGCCCCTCTCGGAGAGCCCGGCAAGCTACCTAGAGTATCTCGCCCGCACGGCAGAGCCTGGCAAGCTACCCATGATGTATTCGATATGCCAGACACAGTAACAACAAAGTCTCCAATGGAGATGTTACTGGGCCTGCTTGAGCAAATCGACGAACAACGGGAGGGCCTTTACCTTTACCTTATCTTCATTATTAACATTACCCCTTGCTGATGGTCTCCTGGTGCCAGGGACTTTCATAGAAGTCATCTCATTGAATCGCCCAACCACCCCAGAGGAGGACATCATTCGCTCACTAAATCGGTGAATGCATTGAGCTTGACCAGGTCATGCTGGCCCTATAACTGGAGAAAGACAGGTTGGGTATTGGAACCTGAGTCTGTGCAAAGCAATGGCTTGACCTCAGTGGAGGTAGGGCCTATGTATGTCTCCTCCTCTCAGCAATGCCCACCTGCTTGTCACAGAAGGGGTGCTCGGTAAACAACAACAGAGTCCTTCATCAGTTGGTGTTACTTCGATGCCTCTCTTAAATCACCTTAGGCTTTCTTAAATTACCATTCTCAGAGGTAGGGGCACTGCTCTGCCTATTTGGCTGTATCTTCCCAGGACCCACAGCCTGGAGTTGGCCTCAGGAACTGAATACAGAGATGCTGGCTAAGGAACACCCCGAGATACTTGCAGGCTCAGTGAAACTCAGTGAAACTGATGGCTAATGGACCCTAAGATGCTTGCAGGCTCAGTGAAAACTGAAGTTCAGGCAAGTGCCCAGAGACCCTTGTAGAGCTTTTGGTGTCCCCTGAAGCACCAACACACACAGCTGGGCTCCTGGCCAGTGTGGGGGATTGATGTCCTAGAGCACCCTCAGGTCGGCTACACATTCAGAGGGGTTCCCATCCCACCAACCTGAATTTGGGGTGACTAGAAATCATGGGAAGTAGACCCCTGGGTTCCAGCTCTGACCCTGTACTTGCATGGGGTATGCTTATGCCTTTTACTTCCTAGCCTCAGTTTCTCTTTTTCACAAACACAGGGTTGGGAGGTAATTGGGACTGTAGTAAGAACCTCATCCATGGATTATGAAATCAGCTTAGAGGGCTGCAGTGAGTGTTCATGCACATGGGTGTGTGTCTGCTTGTGTGGCCATGCGTGGTAGGTGTGTGTGCCTGCATGCGTGTTTATGGCACATCCCGAGGGTAAAGGGCAGTTCAGCTAATTGTGCTTTTATTGCGCTTATCTCTGGGTGGTTGACTGGATCTGGGTGGAGGTTTAATTACATCCTGTGGGTTACCAGCACAAAGATCTAAGGCACTAACTGTTCACACAACCTCTCAGAGCCCACCTCGTGTCTGAGGGATTTCTATTTCCTAACTTTCATGATACAAAACCCCAAAGACTTTCCCGAGGCTCTGGGTTACAGGACCCTCTCTTTCACTCTGCACTTCAAACCCTTTCCTCCCAGTTCAGAACAGAGCTCTGCCTATGGATGTTTAAGCCTGTGACTGCATCAGACTCTAAGACACTCAATAACTACCCCACAGGAGCTGCGCATAAACATCGGGTTGGGTTCCTTGCTGAGAAACAGAGATCGAAGCCACTGAGTTACAATCACAGGAAGCTTTAGGGCTTTGGATTCAAATGGGGTGTTTTTGTGTATTTCCTCACCATGTGACTATAGGCCTATGATCTCATCTCTCTAAGCCTCAGTTTCTTCAGCTGTGAAAGGGCTAATGATACCTTCCTCTCTGTCATTGGGATTATTTGATGACATGATGCACATAAATTACCCACTGCAATGCGGGGCATACAAGTCAGCTCTCAATAAATAACACCTGTCATGGAAAAGGACCATCAGCCCAAGCCCCAGAGTTCTGACCTCAAATTCAGGCCCAAGAGCTGAGGCCACTGCCCAGGGTAGAAGTGGCCTCATGTCTCATCTCCCTGGATGCACTGTGTCACACTTACTACATTGGATGAGGCCATCAGTGACTCTGCAGATGCAGTGAGCCCAGTGGGGAGGGTCAGAGGCAGCAGTACTACACGTGGCAGTTCCTATGTGCGTCCCAAAGGGGTTCTGGGCCAGGAGCCAAGACACGATGCTCACCTGTGCCCAAAGTTCTGTCCACAACAATTCCACCCGTACTAAATCTTTCCCATCTGCACAAGTCCAGCTCAGATGACACCTCTAGAGGACATCTGTCCCCGCTTTCCAGCAGAGGGCACCCATCTTCAGCTCCTTGCCTTTGTCCTCTTTCATTAGATGTGTTTTTTTTTTTTTTTTAAGTAAACAGATTTTATTTGGAGATTTTTTTGGAGAGAAGGAGGTTGAGATAAGTGGGAGAGTGGAGAGTAAGAGAGTCAGAGTAACATGATCAAGAAAGAAGGAGGGCTTCTCCAAGAACGGAGAGAGCTCTCATTAGGTGTTAATCTTGGTTCAATGTGCATTGAAGTTGCGTCCACCTAAGTCAGACCTGGGAAGGCCCACTGAGAAGGCCCAGTGAGACAGGCTCACTGCTCACCCATTCTTGAGTCTGGAAGGTGGGGGATCCCTCCACACTAGCTTTGCCCATGCAGGAGAACAGCCTTGTGTCTAGGGCATCCCCAGAGTGCCCCCCTCTCCCTGTCCTGAAGAGTCACTCAACCCAGCCTCTAGAGCAGGAGTTTTTTTTGGGGGGTGCTCCTCAGAGACCCCAGCATAACATCGGGATGCACACTCTCCACTGTGCTAGAAAGGGTTAAGGATTTCATTCCTGGACATGGATTTGCTCTGCTGCAGGTGGGACCTTGTTATCCTAGACACCAGGTGAGAGTCTAAGGGTGGCTTCAGAAGGACCTACCGCATAACAACGTGTAAATCCAAGTCTAGAGATGAGATACAAATTCAGTCCCAGCACCCAGCACCCAGCACCCAGCACCCAGCACCACCTGCAAAAAGCTCTAAACTACTTACCACCCCCACATAACCTCTTAGCCTGTTGGGAATGACACCCCAGTACTGAGGCCACAGCAACAACAAATGCAACAGCAACAAAAACTACAAATCCTCAAGCTGAAAGGAACTTTGGGGCTGGAGCTCTTGCCCTGCATGCTGGAGCCTGGGCCTCCATTTCGTGCCCTCCCTGGTTTCCGGTTTCCCAGCACTGCCAGGAGTGAGCCCTGATCACTCAGCAGGAGTATCTCTGGAGCACTGCAGGATGCAATCCTCCCTCCCCACAACACCCCCCCCCCCCGGAAAATGCTCATAATGACCAGGCTTGTGGCCAATGAGGAGCTGCAGAGATCTCAGAGATAAATTAAGTGTCCTAGGTCCACTCACACAGTCGAGGGCAGAGCAGGCAGCAACTGCAGAAACGACCTGTGCTCTTGTCTGTGATTTGCACATTTCTGAGCGTAGGAAGATGGTCCCGGGGTCAGGTGCATTGTTCCATTCCAAAACTAATCTATTACAAAAGATAGATTCTGGGAACTGGCAGAATCACCCAGACATCACCGTCTGCAACCCCTAATGCGTGCACTCGATCACGGTCTCTTTGTAGAAGCCGTGTTGGAAACCTTTCCTACTTTGGTGACACAACATTTTCTTATAACCCATTACTCGCCTCTCTGCTACTTTAGAAACAGGGCTCAGCACTCCTGGGAATATATCCCAGAGAGGCAAAAATGTATAGTCGAAGTGACATCTGCACTTGTTTGTTCATTGCAGCACTCTTTACAATAGCCAGAAACTGGAAGAAACCTGAATGCCCAAGAACAGATGACTGGTTAAAGAAACTTTGGCACATCTACACAATGGAGTACTATGTAGCTGTTAGAAAAGATGAAGTCATGAAATTTACATACAAGTGGTACAATATGGAAAGTATCATGCTAAGCGAAATGAGTCAGAAAGAGAGGGATAGACATAGAAAGATTGCATTCATCTGGGGGATATAAAGTAACAAAGTATGAGATTAATACCCAAGAATAGCTGAGATCAGCACCAGGAGGATTACTCCATAACTTAGAGGCCAGCCGGGTATCCTAGAGGAAAGGGCAGTTCAGATAGAGAAGGGAGCACCAAATAAAGGATGTTTGGAGGATCCTCCCAGGAGGAGATGCATGTCGAAAGTAGACTATGGACTGAACATGTTTGCCACTCAATGCCTCTTTTGCAGACCACAACACCCAAAAGGAGAGAGAGAACACAGGGGATTGCCCTGCCACAGAGACAGGGGGGATGGGGGGATGGGGGTGGGAGGGATATTATCCATGGTGGTGGAAAATGGGCACTGGTGGAGGGATGGGTATCCGATCATTGTATAATTGAAACCAAAGCACAAAAAATTGTAAATCTACAACTTTAAAAAAAATAAAATAAAATAAAGGGAGAAAAAAAAAAGAAACAGGGGTCAGTTTCAGCACTTAAGTGTTGATGAAGATCTCTTAATGCTGGCAGGCTCTTTTTAGACAAGGCTGCCCTTGGGCCTGTCCTCAAGCACCTGCAGTTCAGAGCGTACCCCCTGCCCCATTCTGATCAGAATCCCCACCTCTGATTTCCCCTGGCTGCCGTCCACAGGATCCTGCTGAGTCAGCTTGGCCACACTCTCTCTGGCTTCCTTATCCCTGGTGTTAGCTCTTAAGAATTTTTCATGAACTGTTGCTCTCCACTCCTACCCCCATCCCTGCTCCTTGTCCTCCTGATTTAGAAGGGAGCCCAGTTCTGTTAAAGGCCTTTCTCCTCCTCTGCTGTATCATTCTTGATTAACATTCTACTTTTCTGGGCAGAGATAGCAAAGCAGGCAAGGGGCTTGCTTACCTTGCTATGTGATTGATTCTGACTTGAATCACTAACACCACATATGGTCCCCAAAGCACCACCAGGGGTCACTCCAGAGCATAGAACCAGAAATAGCCCTGAGCACCTAAGGGTGTGATCCCCACTTTCGTGCCTCTACCCCCCCCCCCCCA